ATCCCTTAAATTCTTCACTTCCTGAAGAAAAAACCAAACAAAAAAAGCCACTCACGGCCTCTGGCCTTTGGGCCTAATCCGGTCCTGAACTGCTGGGCAGACAGAGCTCGGCCTCTTCCAGACAGAGGGGAAAAAAATAACTCAGGTCAGAAGGCTGGCTCACTGTGGCCTGTGTCCAGGCCTGCACAACAGCCCTCCCACCCAGGACAGCTTTGATGAGTAACCTGGATGAATGGACTTAGCAGATAAAGTTAAAAAAAAAACAAAACACAGGCAGGTCAAACGGTTACTTGTCTTCAAATTTCCTAAAATCGGTCAGACTAAAACAGCCCACGGAATAGTTGTTTAACTACATAAGTATCTAACAGATACCTTCAGAGAGTATAGGCACAGAGCACATGCAGTCATCAAACCTGATAATACTGGGGCTAGAAAAGGCCCTAATAATCATAATCATAATAATACCAAGAGCTACCATTCAAGTGCACAGCGCCTGCCCACAAGGTGCTGCTTATCTCATTAAATCCTTTCAGTGACCCTAGCAGATGGGGGTATGTGAAAATATTTTGGAACTAGGTAGAGGGGATGGTTGTACCATATTGTGAACGCACTAAATGCTGTACACTTTAAAATGGTTGATTTTGTTATGCGAATTATGCCTCGATCTCCGCCCCCCAAAAATGTCACTGCATGCATGCTAGCCGAAGGACTCCCGACAGGAATGAGCATGTAGTTATACTACACATCCTGTACACATACATTTACTGGCTGGTATGAAGTACTGACAGACTGGAATATGGTAAATATTTGACAAAGGGAAAAAATCATGCAGAGTCACTCCATTCAATAAACACAGAACATGCCAGGTACGACGGGGCTGAGGGGCAAAAAGCCCTGGAAGAGGGCAAAATGCCTCATGGTCAGGGGGTGGGGAGGCGTTGCCTCTTGGGAGGAGGGGACATTCCAGCTGAGAGCAGAAGTGTGAGGAGCTGGCCCTGGGAAGAGCAGGGGGAAGGGTGTGCCGGCTAGAGGGAACAGAGGCTGCAAAGACCTGGAGGGAAGCGCTGGGGCCTGGGAGGGGTGGGGAGCAGGTGGAGAGGCCCTGGAACAAGGCGGTCCTCCGGCTTCCATTCCTATCAGAATCTCCACTTTATAGATGAGGAAACGGAAGCTCAGAAAGGGCAGTAACTTGCTCAAGGCTACACAGTTTATAAGAGGCCAAGTCGGTGTCTGAACCTGGGTCTGCTTAATTCCAAAATCCCTGCCCTTAAAAATGATACAACTCAAGAGAAGTGAGAATACAGTTCAAGGGATACTTTGACAGGGTGAGGCTAGCGGGCTCTGTGGGTACAGAGACGAGACATAGTCTAGCCTGTGGGAGGGGAGGTAGTCAGGGAAGGCTTCCAGGAGGAAGTGACACCAGACTGAAAGATGAGAAAAATAGTATGCCTTAAAAGGAAGTAAAGTAATAGCCTCATGGAAGAGGGAACAGCAGAAGCTTCTCAGGCTCAAAAAGTGGCATGGGAACCGTCAGGTGGGGGTGGGGGGTGTGTGTGGAGATGGGAGCTAAGATGGGGACCAAATCGCTAAGGGCATCCTTTCAACTAGTGTTTATTGAAGGCCTCCTATACACCAAGCACTGGGCTAAGCAGGGGGATGCCATGGTGAGCCAAACAGGCCCAGGCCCTGCCCTGCTGGAGCTTACCATCTAGTAGGAGAGCAGAGACATCATAGCAACAGTTAACACTTACATGGGCCATGGCAGCCACTCCCCAGGATGGCCCCCTGTGACCCTCCCCTCCTAATATTCACGCCTCTATACAGGCCCCATCCACACTGAACAGGGCTGACCCGTGTGAACAATAAAAACAACACAGTGTGATTTCTAAGACCAGCTCATAAAAGACACTACAGCTTCCGCCTTGCTCTCTCTTGGATCATCTGCTCTGAGAGAAGCCAGCCACCACGTCTCGAGGACACTTAAGCAGCCCTCTGGGAAGTCCACATGGAGAGGAACTGAGGCTTCCTGTCAACAGCCAGTGTCAACTCACCATCCATGTGAGCGAGTCATCTTGGAAGGGATCCTCCAGCTCCAGGCAAGCCTTTGAATGACTGCATGGCTGGCTGACACCATGACTGCAATTTTGTAAGACAGACTGAGCCAGAAAAGCCTAGATAGGTCACTCCCCAATTCCTGACCCACAGAAACCTTGAGGTAAGTGGGTTCTAAGCCTCTAAATTTTGGGAAAATTTGTTCCAAGGTACAGATAACTAACTTAAGCATTTACTTATTTATATAAGTTATGAATTTATTTATATAAGTAAGTTATTTATATAAATTATCTGAATCCTCATAATGACCTCCTGAAGTAGGTACTTTCGTTATTTAATACATAAGGAAACTGAGGCACCAGGCACTGCCTTTCCCAAAGACAAAACCAGTGAATGGGAAAAAGAGGGTTTGCATCTGAGAATCCAGAGTCTAGACTTGAAACCACTACACTATAGCTGCCAGCATGGCTGTGGGTATACTCCATCATTCATTCATTCATCACAGGTTTAGTACCTACCACGTGCTGGACACTGTTCTAGGTCCTAGGGGAACAAGAAAAAGCCCCTGATTTTCATGGCACCCACATTCTAGAAGGAGAGATAGCTAATAAACCAGGAAATGATCAAACCACATGACTTCAGATGGTGCTAAGTGCTTTGAAGGAATAAGCAAGGTCAGGGTAAGAGATAGGGGGGTACTTCTCCAAACAAGATGACTCCAGAGGTCTGCCTCTCTGAAGTGACATTTGAGCAGAGACCTGACAGGAGCAGAAAGAGGCTGCCATATGAAGATCAAAGAGAAATGCACTCCAAGCAACGAGAACAGCAGATGCAAAGGCCCTGAGGCAGAAATGACCTTGATATGTTGGAGGAATGAGAAGGCAGTCAGTGTAGCTGGAGCAGCATGGGCTAAGGTAAGGCTGTAGGTGATGAGAGCCTGCAGAGGTGGGCTGGGGTCCTTGCTGGCCTTGTTGGAGGCCTGGAGCTTGTTCTCAGAGCAGTGGGAAGCCACTGAAAAGTTTTAATTAAGAAGGCAATTATTGTCTATTCAGCCATAAAAACAAATGAAATAGTGCTATTTGCAGCAACATGTATGGACCTTGAGATTATCACACTAAGTGAAGTAAGTCAGAAAGAGAAAGACAAATACCATACGCTGTCACTTACCTGTGGAATCTAAAATATGACACAAGTGAACTTATCTGCGAAACAGGAACAGTTTCACAGATACAGAGAACAGACTTGTGGTTGCCAAGGGGAAGGGGGGTTGAAGGAGGGATGGATTGGGAGTTTGGGACTAGCAGATGCAAACCATTATATACAGAATGAATAAACAACAAGGTCCTACTGTATAGCACAGGGAACTATATTCAATATCCTGTAATAAACCATCATGGAAAAGAAAAAAAAAAAAGAAGGCAAATGTTGTGATCTGTTTTATCATTAAGAAGGATACACATTTCCCAATTCTGTAAACTAGACGCCCTGTGTCTCCTGACCCCCTCCAGCTGTCCTCCCGAGATGCTCATACAGTGCGTCATGGTTTACAAACTGCTGCAAAGTTATAAACACAGTCCCTTCTGAGCCTTCCACTCATGCTGGTGGGTACAAGGTCATAAAATATCATCTGTCCAAGGGACAGGGAGAACCTTTTGATTAGAGGCGCTAGTTACAGTACTCATAAAAAGATGCTTAGAGATCCCCTTGAACACCCAGCAAAGATCCAAGCAAGAGGAATCTCCTTGCCTTCTGTATGGGAAACCAGGGTTGGCATCTTAAATGTGATGAAGTGTGATTAAATAAGAGAAAGATAAAAAATCATGTGGAAAATACTTGAATAGCTATTACTGAAAGGCTGAAATTGAGCTGATGCCAGCACTATTAACACTGCATTAGAAAATAATTAGCATCAAACCCAGTCTTTTTTCTGATTCCCGAGCAAGTTCCCAGAGTTTGAGTCTCTCTAGATGTTTTTCTCTTTTTCTTCTTCTAGATGTTGAGATCAATCCAATCAGAGGGGCCCAATGCCCAAATCTACACTCATGCTTTACTGTAGGTCCTTGTAACAAAATCTCTATTCTCAAATTGAAATAGAAAAAACGCTGCAGATAAAACTCACAGTGGGGAAGTTGAAGCCAAGGTACTAGGTATTGGAAGCATTGTCCACACACACACACACACACACACACACACAAAACCTCACAGTGGGGTCTTGTGTTTTCTTAAGGGCAAATATAAGATATGAATGCTGCAAGGAAGCCTGCCTGGGTACTGGCAACTTTTCTATCTTGACTGAGTAGCGGTTGTACACATTTATGTTAAAATTCACAGAGCTGTACACTTCACTCTTAAGTTTTACCCAATAAAAAAAGGGAAAAGCATATACTTGTCTGGCTACCACTGATAGTGCCTTTTCTGTATCAAGCACTGTGCTAGGCACTTCACACATTTTTCTCAACTAATCCCACCACCATCTTATTCCCATTTTACTGCTGAAGAACCTAAGGTTCAGAGAGGGCAAGTCACTTACCAAAGATCACACAGCAATAAATAGCCGAAGCAGAATTCAGTTCTAAGTCCATCTAATTGTAAAGCCTCGTATGTTTGGGAGGCAGGCACCTGGTATCAGAATGTTAGGGCTGACAGGGATCTCACAATCTTTTCATTTAACATCTAAGATTATTTTGAGACTTGCCCGGGATCCCTCGACCAGCTTTGGGAAGGCAAACTCACCACTGTCGAGACTCCCATTCTAGTGCTCCTTTTGGTAGGGCATGGGCTCTCTGAATTGGGTGAGGATGGGTTGGAGGAGGGAGACCAGCAATAAGAAAGATCCGCTTTCCCCCAAGCCGGGAGGTGGGGAGGGGGCCGGGCCCGCGCCGAGCTCCCAGCACCTCGCGGCCGCTGGCACCCGCCGGCCGCCTGGAGCCGGGTCCGCGCCGCCCTACCTTGGTGGATGAAGGCCTGCCTGCTGGGCCTGCCGGGCGGGAGCGCACTGGCACTGGACTCGCTCATGGCTGCGCCGCGCGCCCGCGAAATGCCGCCGGAGACCCGCTCCGGCCGCCGCCGCCTCCCGGCCTTCCCTCACGGAGCCGGGATTCCAGATTCCGGGGCCGACGTCACAGAGGCGGGGGCGGGCGGGGGCGGGGCGTCCCAGTGGCCCTTCCCACGCCCGACCCCGCTGGACCACCCGAGCAGCCCTGCGCTGGGAGGCGAGGTGTAGCCAGGAGGCAGTGGGAGGGTGCGGCTCCGCCGCGTCGGGGACCCATGAGGCGCGGCTGGAGAGCCGGAGAGACCCGGGACAGCTCCGTCCAGCGGCCGCGAGGAGGGGAGACGTCCCAGATTTTAAAAAGTGTAATAAAAATAACCAAGACGCCGAACAAGTGTATCTAGTAGGTTACCATTTGGGTACCAAAAGGAAAAAAAAGAGGGGGGGAATATATTTGTACGTGTTTGTAAATGCATAAGATATCTGTCGAGTGGGGAGCTGGGAGGCCTGGATGAGAAAGGTACGAGGGATAGTTTTTCACTACGTGCCGTGTTTGTCTTTTAAAATTTGCACCTTATCCACGTTTCATCTCTGCCTCTATCCAGGTACAGCTTAAAAGATAGAATGAAAAGGAATTAGCAAATATAAATAAGTGCCAAATAATTAAAGAAATGTAATTGTATATACATTTGTATACAAGTAACTTCCAAATTAAATAAATGGGAAGTGTAGATAAATCGCCTATGCAGAAAAATTCTAAATAATTTATACAGCTACTTCAAGGAGGTGGAGCCTGACTCCCCAGTCTTTAAGTGCGGGCTGCACACAGTGACTTCCCTCTGAAGAGGACAGTGCGGAAAGGGAGGGCGGGGCACGGCAAGTAACTACCTGAATAATACCTGACAAACACTTGCTCAGACAGATGATCCAGGTCGACATCAACAGTGATGTCATGTTGATGGTATGTAAGCACCCTTGATATGATGTGATGGGAATGACACTCTACCTGTGTGGGTCTTTCTCCCCCAAACCCATAGCCAAATCATAAGAAAAACATCAGATAAACCCCAGTCAAGGGACGTCCTACAGAAGACCTGAATAGCTACACAAGACTGTCAAGGTCATCAGAAACAGGGAAAGTCAGAAACTGTCACAGTGAAGAGGAGCCTAAGGGGACATGACCGCTTAAATGACCACTTAAGTGTAATATGGTCATCAGGGTGGGAATGTGTAACAGGAAAAGTAACAACTAAGCAAATCCGAATAAAGTATGGACTTTAGATAATAATACTGTGTCAATATTGGCTCATCTGCTACTGATGTAAGATAGTAATAATCACAGAAACTGAGTCTAAGGTGTATGGAAATTCTCTGTGATATTCTCAAATTTTTCTGTAACTCTAAAACTATTCCAAGATAGAAAGTTATTTTTTTTTAAGAAGTAATTGCCTGGATCAAAATAAATGCTAGTAATAAATGTAGTAAAGGGTTGGGTCACTGAGTTTCCAATTGGAAACTGGTTTCTAATTATTCCCTGAGTGAGCTTGGCCATGTGACTCAACCTCTCTGAGACTCTGTTTTCTCACCTGTAGAAAGGGTTGTAGTGAGAATAATCCCCTGAAGTGCCTGGCAGAGCATCTGGGGGAAAAAAACCCAAACAAACCTAATCTGATGCCAACCTCACACAAAAGAAAATCCAAAGATATAAATGTAAAAAATAAAACCATGAAAGTGCTTTGTAAAAAAGTGTTTTTGTTTTGTTTGGGGTTCGGTTTTGTTCATTTATTCAAACTACATAAAATTTTAAAATTCTGCAAGACAAGCAATGACATTTCTATGAGGCTATTCCTTGCAATGTTGTTTATACTAGCAAAAGAAAGAAGCGGCCTAAATCAATATAGATACAAGGCTGGTTGAATACATTTTGACACATACATCCAGCGATCAAATAGCTGTATATAGAAAGTTCTACATATAGAAAGTTCTATGTGTGGAAATATACACTTAAGTGAAAAAAGCAAGGTGCAGAAGAAGTGTATTAGGTAAGCTACCATTTGGGTAAAGAAAATACAAGAATATGTATGTGCTTGGAAATGCATAGTAAATTTCAGGACAAGTTGGGGGTATTTACTGATAATCCTTTTCTTCTGTATTGCACAGCTATATTACCTATATATGCTTGAAGTTTTAAAAAATTACCTCTAAAGTCTGTGGCACAAAGCAGTGTCGAGAAATGATGGCTGTTTCTGTCGTGAGACAGTGCCTCCTTCTTCCCTTCCTCACCAGAGGCCACCTCCCAGCCCTGATCCCAGCCCACAGATCTGGAAGGAGATGGATGGAGCCTGCCAGTGCTCATCTCCCTCCTACTGGTCTCACGCGGCACCTGGCACCTGGCCCTGGCTTGGTCTGCATCCCAAGCCAGGAGAGGCCTTGGGTTCTCTCTGGGGCAGGGGAATGAGCCCAGAACCCTGAAGGAAACTCCTTCCTCCCAGGAGATGACTGATTTTACAGGAATAGAAATAGGGTAGTTCTTTGGGAAAAGGTCTCAAAAATCTGTTGGAAGGAAATAGAAGGGGGAAGAAGGCTGGTAGCGGACAAACAGAAATTCAGACAGAAGGATGGCGAGTAGGACAGAAAGCAGAATCAAACATGGAATTCTTGATTCCATTTAGGTATTGCTTTATTTCAAGGGGAGGCGCATGTCTTTCCACAGCGCCCCCTATCAGCTTTATCTATCCTAGCACTTTACTTTTACTACTTGGTTTGTCTGTTTCCCGCACTAGAATACAGTATGAGGAAAGCTATGGTGGGGTCTCTCTTTTATTATTAGGATAATAATAATAGCTGCCACTTATTGAGGACTTACTCTGTACCAAATCCATATCATGCATTACCTCATTTAACTTTCATCATCTCTAAGAAGATAGTAGGAACCTTCAATCCCCATTTTAGAGAAAAAAGAACCAGGGTGCAGAGGGACAGGGTGGAATCAGCCCTCTGCTCTCCTTCGCCACCAGCGATCACCTGACCCAAAGCACCACCACCTCTGCCGAGGCGAGGACTGCCTCCTGCCTGTCTCCCTGCCTTGTCCAAACCTTGTCCACCAGCAGAACCAACTTCTCAGAAAGGAAATTGATCTTGTAATTTTCCTGCTAAACATTCCCTCCTCCTCTGGTTTCCTCTTGCCACTTAGAATACACCCTCGCTCTCCTTATCATGTGTGGAGCAGGCTTTGGGGGATCTGTCCAGCCCCATCTCCTACCATCACCACTGTGGCTGGCTTCCTTTCTCCTCCTATCTGAACACACCTATCTGTTCCTGCCTACGAGTTCATGTTTGCTGTTTCCCTCTTCCCAGAGCCTGCACCTCACACTTGCCCCTGATTTTGTCCGCTTCTCCCTTCACATGGCAAAATATGGCCACATTGCAGCCCCAAGTTGATATAAACTCTGAAAAGACTGATTAGAGGTCTGAGTCACAATTCCCAGATCCTGGGAGGGAGAGTCTGATGTATTGTATTTGACTTAAATAAAGAGTAAAGGACTTCCCTGGTGGTGCAGCGGTTAAAAATCTGCCTGCCAATGCAGGGAACACGGGTTTGATCCCTGGTCAGGGAAGGTCCCACATGCCGCTGAGCAACAAACCCATGTGCCACAACTACTGAGCCTGCGCTCTGGAGCCGGTGAGCTACAGCTACAGAGCCCACACGCCCCAACTACTGAAGCCTGTGCGCCGCCAACTACTGAAGCCCACGTACCTAGATCCCGAGCTCTACAACAAGAGAAGCCACTGCAATGAGGAGCCTGCGCACTGCAACAAAGAGTAGCCCCCGCTCACCACAACTAGAGAAAGCCTGCGCACAGCAACAAAGACCCGATGCAGCCAAAAAAAAAAAAGAGTAAATTCCTGGCCCCATTGACCACGTTCTTAATGTAGATTGTCCTGGTGCATCCTATTGCCTTTCCCCTTCTTTCCACCCCCAACAACTGTCATTCCACAAGTGATCTACAACAGAAATGCTTTGTAAACTGCAAATGTCTAAATAAATGTTAATATAGTAGCTGTGGCTGTGTAAGACATAACTATGGGGTTGCAAAATGGGACAAAAAAGGGGGCATTTTATATACCACAGATGCGTGCAAATAAAGTTCATCATCTTAGTTCATTTATAGCCAGAGAATTAGCCAGTAACCTTTGCTACTCTGAATTTTAGTGGAGAGTTTGAGTTTGCTGTTGGTTTGTTTGCTTTTCTTTACTCATTTGGCTGATTTGCCTAAAAGCTTTTAGAACAATATTTTCCTCACCTTCTGACATGTTCCCTGACTTACACCAAAGTTCTGACACCTGCTGATTGTAAAGATCGCAGCTCTTTTATTTCTCAGCAGTGATAACCCAGTCTGATTCTCTTAAGGGATAATGAGAATTTATTAGAAGGTTGCTGGGTAAGACACAGCTGAGCCTCAGAAAGGATGGAAACCGAGGACTGGAGGGAAACCAGGAAGATGATTCTCTCTCCCCTTTTCTCATTTTGGCTTGTCTCTGAGGCTGCTTGTTCCTTCTCACACTATGTCCCAGCTTTCCACCAGTACAGGTGGCAGAAAATGACCGGCGGTAGCTGGTGCAGCCAACAGATCTTCGTCGTTGCTCTGTCTCTCTACCTGTACTTTTCTGAGTAATTTCCAAATCTGTTATTAAGCGCGACACCAGCCTCATTTTAAATCAAGTTTGGGAGACCTTTTCATGCAGGACTGTAGAATTTTCCCACATATATCACCTCATGAGGAGGAGACAGCTGTGGGTGCAAGTATTACCATGGAAAGAAGAGGGAAGCATTTTCTGTGGGTTGCTAGGCCTTGGTCCTACCAGGTGTCTTCCTCTAAGAAAGGCCGGAACAGAGCAGTAAGTTTTGAAGTGTTGTTGCATAGGTTTGAGTCAGGGATTTGTTTTTTTCTTCTTTGTAAGAAAAGAGTGTTCAGTAATTGCAAAAAAAATTTTTTAATAAAAAAATAAAAATGGGTGTAAATTATTCTAAGGCGCTTGTATCAGGAATGCTTTCATTTGTAAGTAACAGAATGCCCAGCTTAACCCTTCAGGGCATTTTTATTTATTTAGTAAGATATCTCAAGATGAGTTT